ACACATCAGTATTGATGAGCTAATTGCATTTGAAGCTTGTGAAACTGAAGTCTAAAAAAATTTAATCTTTGCTGTATATTGATCCTGCACATTTAAAATCTAAAGATCTTTCAGGTCCCCCATTTTCGAAGTGTTCCACAAAGTCATAAGCACATTTCAAATTGCCAAATGTACTTATTTTTACATCTTAGGTTTTGAGTACACCAGTCTGCTCTTCTCACGTGAGCATTTGATAAAGACATTGTTTTTTCGTGAAAAGCTTGTCTGTCCAGGTCAAAAACAAAACAAAAATAAAATTAAAGCTAAATATGTTGATGAGGTAGGCATCTTTTTTAAAATTTTTATACAATTTCAAGAATGGTCGTCTTGATTTTTGTACATGTATTTGCGGTCTTTTCGATCGATGAACATTCAATGTATACATCACGATAAAGTCCGTTTGAATTTGCTTAGTAACTTACTTTCAAAGTATTAATCTTTGCTGCATATCAATCATTTCCTTTAGAATTCCCCCCCTGAACTTTTCTGATTTAGCTGCATAGATATCCGGGTGATTTGCATATTTCAGAGAGGTATACAGCCAGTAGAGAAAAAGATTAAAGTTTGTGTTCCAGCAATTTATTTGCATAGCAGCATTTTAAACCAATTTTATATGAAGCTCCTATAGCTTGCCGCACTTGGCGTTTGCTATTTACAGAAGGAAATAACATTAAATGGAAGTTTGTTTTTATTCAAACTTATTTATAATTGGTAGCGTCCTGGATAAACGGGACAAACATTGAAAGAAATCTAGTTTTCAGTATTTACAGGGGAGATCACATTTTGTCACTAGGTTTCTAACTTGAAATATTAAATATTAATATATATACAAATTCATATTTATATTGTGTTACAAAATTTTAAGTTTAATTTTTAGCAATTATGTCTGTTTAGCTGAGACAGTAAGTAAGAAAAAGCAAACTACACCAATAACTGTCAGTAACAGCTTCTGCAAGAAAGTCAACGAAAGGCTACCAGCTTTATTTGTACCTGTACCACATGTAAAAGGCAACTACATCTGTTACAATTCGGGGGTACATAGTATTGCCAACTACCACATTAGCCTTCTTCAACTGAATGTTAAATACAATTGCAGAGGTATAGTTCAATACAAGTACAGATAATCCTATTTTAACACCGGAACCAGTCGAGATCGTTCATTAGGTAATGTAACCTTATTCCGTTTTATCAAATAACTAATGTTAGCATGCATATTGATAAAGCTTTAAATGTTTCTGGAAGTATATGAGAAAAAGTTGTATAATGTCAGTTATTAATTTTGGTATATTGTTTTAGAACAATTATTCAAAGCCGCTACACGTAAGCTAGTTTTAAATTAGTTAAACAATACACAAAATAAATTTCGTTTTCTTCATTTAGTAAAGGAACATCTGTTAAATAAATGTACATGTCTATTGTACAACTCATCCAAATGTACCCAGAATCGACTAAAGTACACGACGACTGTTCATTTAGATGCAAAGCGAAATATTAACACAAAGTTGTATGATGATCATGAGCAATTCGGGTTACGTAAAGCATTTGATCCAGCAAGTTCATGGGGGAAAGTGGATTTAGAGCTTTGGTTATTTAACATGCGGGACATTATTGGCATGCCCTATTTGGGAATATTTTCTTCTGTTTATCGTGCATTGTCGGCCAATGCTAATTTGCATAAAAGGTTGCAGAGCTAACTTTTCAAGACTTTCTGTCATAATAATGTCGAAGTCGCAGTTCAGTAAACAGTTTGATAGTTTTCCTCCACAAATAAGAACTATTATCAAATTAAATGCAACATAGAATTGTTTATAAATGTTAACCTGTCAAGATTTGGTTGGAGATTGTACGGTGAGGCATTTCCAGAAGTGAAAAGATATTAAAATCGATGGGGTACATTGTCATTTGTCGGAAACAATATTTTTTCTTAATACATAACTAATTGCAAAAAGTAAAAAACTGACGGGTTAAAATGCAAACATAATATCCATATACACAGGAAGCATACAATGCTTGAACAAAGTTCTAAGCAAGTCAAGTTAATATTGATAATATACATTATCATTATATATTAAGTATATAGATAATTGACCAATGTGGACCTTATTTTCGTCACTCCATGGATTACTTTTATTATACAGCCACAAGTCTTGACAAATATCTTTATCAGTGATCTTTACTTGGATCTAAAATAGTTTACAATTTGATTAGAGCTGGTTAAAGTTAGAACAATGGGCTTTAATTGTGTTAAAAAATGGACTTCTAATATCACTACTGATTTGGCAATGAAGGAAAAAGTGTTCCTCGTCTTCTAAAATTTTACAAACTTTACACACTCTTATGTTCTCTTGGATTTTTTTTTTATCGACCCATGGTGGTTTTGTTGCTCATGCATAAGGCAGTTGGAAAGTATATATATTCAACTACTGAAACAGAAGATTGATATAAAAATATAAGTATGATTAATTATTTAGCTTGTATAGTTTAAGTTACATAAAACGATTTTTATTTTTTCAGTTATTGACGTCACTTTATTATTTTAAGTTTGAAATGTTTTTATTATTGGTTAATGTATTTGGCACATGCACAGCTTGGCAGCGAACCCCCATTTTATGGCGGTTGACATTGTAACCAAGGTCTTCCTGTTTTAATGTCAATCTGTCATAATTCGCTACATCAAAAAACATTTCGTTTTATAAATAGTATCATTCACTACAGATGAACAATGTAAGGGTTTTGATCCGTCACATGTGTTCCCACGGTGATCCAAATTGTTCTAATCTTATATTCAGTTACCACAATCTGTGGTAGTCATTTATATATATATATTTGATAGTACGGTTGCCATAATCAGCGATATGTCGGTAACCTCATAGTTTCAGATATACAAGTGAAAGTTAAATTGCCAGCGATCTGCGGCACATACATACATTTATATTGAGATTACTTATATACAATGTGTATAAATTTACATAATATTAAAGGCTGTGGCCAAATACTGCAAATTAGTTGTTGGGTTTTAACAAGCATCTGGGATAATCATTCCATTATTCAAAATTGGCTATTTCTTAATTTTCACGCGTTTTTCGTATTTAGGTCCTACGTAACCCATCTAATGGGCATTGCGGCACAATCAACAAGTTATATCTATAATCAGGGGATGACGAAAAGCAAAGGTCCAGTGAAAATTAAAAAAAAAAATACAATGTATAGTATTTTAGTTTTTATATATGTTTCGGTATTCAGGTCGTCCACACACTAAAACAAGGAATTTCTGTTTAAAATAGTTAGGGAAACCCACTAAATTATCCTCCAAAACTAAATAAATAAACAAAGATAACAAATTCAAAGAGTGTTTTGATTTTTTTTTCTGATATCAATTTGAATTTTGTTAAATAACACCAAAATGACGAATTCAGAAATGGATATACATGTAGAGTCACAGTCAAAAATAAATGTTCTATTTCATTATTCAATTTTCAACTTATTCATTATTCATCACTAAATGTTGAAAAGTGAATAATGAACTATTTCATTATTCTTTATTGAATTTTGAATAATGAAAAATGAATAATGGACGTACTTCAGCGCGGTACATTATATATACAAAATGTATAAGCATTGCAGCATCTACAATACATACATTACAGTTCACAGTAATGAAATAACATACGCAATTACTGGACGCAGTGTACTTTTGTCGTGTCCATACCAGTCAACTGCATCAGCCGTTAGTTGGACTGGTCCTCTAAGATTTGTATACAGTATAAATGATGGCATAAGTGAAAGACTATCACGAAATCGTCGGATATCTGTGATTGGAAATAAAATGAAAGGCCAATACAACCTATTAATTAAAGTCTGGCTTTGGATGATTTTGGTCATTATCAGTGAGATACAGTTGTAAATGATACAACAGCTGTTCATGATATTTTACTTCGCCCTGCAGGTAAGTTTAATAGCATCAAATCAATTTTTTATGATTGTTAGTCTTGAGCACTGACATGTTAAGTATGCAAGTGCGAACTCGCTTTTTCGTCATTGTTCCTATAGCGTAAAGACTATTATCTAGTATATTCATGCGTTTTGTTACAGGTTTTGCTTTTCTTTTTAAAACTATAGGGAACCATTGTTTTGTTTGTAGTAAACTAATTATTGTTGTCCAATTTAAAATGACAGTTTTTTTTCTATCGGATGTCTACATTCAAACTCGCCTCAAGCTGATTTCTGTTTTGATTACATGCATGGTGATATGTGTTTTATTACTATTCCGATAAAACAAAAGACTAAAAAATGAATTTGCTGATGATCTTTACCTATAGGGTGACGTGTCTTCCTGCGGAATGCTACCTTGTAAACTAGCATGTTAAGCATCACGTGTACTCTGTTGGTTATGTTCAAATCGGGGCTCATATTTTATGCCGCAAGTAAGATGCTCTCGTAACATTGGCACCTTTTTTCTTTCAAAAACATGAATAAAATATTAAAAAACATGTTTTATACAGTAACTGTTTGATGTATATTTATGGCGTGGTGTAATTTTTCTTTAAAATATCATAGAAATACATGTGAATAGGACAACCAGTATTTGTACAGGCTACAATCAGGGAAAATAGAAACAGAATACAAATGGAAGTAGACTTTTTCTCTGTTCCAAAACCAGGGGAAATAACCTGGTTCTACAAAGATGAAATTGTTTGTACAAATCTCACATCACAATTGGTAGTAGGCAAAATCATTAACATCACACTTTATGAGAAGAAAGTGCCTGTAAACGGATATACTGCAAGGATTAGTGCAAAACATGACCATTTTCCTCGTACTGAATTGTTGAATTGTCAACTTCAGAACATCTACGGTGTATTAGACATTTCGTTTACCGACATCACATTTTCAAATTCAACAATGTTTGATGGGGTATATGTTAGGACCGGAACGCTAGATGTAAATATAGTAGCAAATAAGAAAATCGAAAGGGGCAATAGAAGCAAAAACAGCGTGAAAGGTAAAATTAAAACTTTGATTAACTGACGATTAACACATGCTTAAGTTATTAAAAAGCCCCTTATCATACAATCTATACAGTAATGAAGAAGAAAACAACAGAATTAAAGATGTGAGAGAACTTAAATGTTTGTATAGTATTTTCAGGGGAAAAAGTACGCATCAATAATGTCGCAAACACTAATTGCTAAACTGTTTAAGGATGTTCTCTCCTCTTGTTTTTGAATTTTTGCCAGATATTCGGAATCCACTGGTTTTATCCATGTAGTGCCATTAAAACATTTTGCCCGCAAATCCTACTTTTCTTTTCATATTTTTATTACATATCGTTATAAAAGCTATATTTAAAAATCTTGTAAAATACTTGTTATTTTTCATAGTTTTTGAAAGAAAAAAGGTGCCAATGTTAAATGTAAGAAAAATCTAGAGAGAATCATTTCCCGCCAAATTTTCAATGGCTTATATCTTGAAAACAAGCACACAGACCCTTCATTTTTTTCTGCTTTTTTAGTTCAATTTATATTAGTCTTTTAAAAAGCTTGTTATTTTGAAACAGAGTAGCGAACATCCTTAAGTTGCAATTAGAGAAAAAAAAAATCAAATACATCCTTACAAACATTTAACATAAATACAAACATACACCTTTGTTTCTTGATAATTGTGTTTATCAAAAATCGGGCCGTTGTTTTATTTTTCTCTCTTTTTCGAAATGTTTCATATTTGTCATGAATGAGACATTGCAAGCTTACTCTATGTTGAATACCTTAATGAGTTTATGCTTGTTTACTTCCTTGTCTTTAGTCATTGATGGATGTTTGTTCAATTGCCAAACATATTACAGCTCCCTATTATAATAAACAAATACTGGGCCAGTGCCAATTTAACTACCAAACTCCATATTTGATTATTTTGCCGTCCATGTCTATTATTCGAGCGTCAGAAAAGAGCTTGTATAATCAAAATGTGCGTATAACGTTAAAATGTATAAGACTGCTATCTTTGAAGATGTTTTACAACCACAGTGTCAATGTCACTGGTATTGGATGTTTCATTACCGAGGATATGACCAGCCCAAGAACCAGCGACTCTTTTCATAAAAAATCTTAAGAGTAAAAATACTCGTAAGTCATAATCATTTCAGTATAACTTACGATTAATTATAATCGTAAGATTTTTTGTTAAAAGAGTCGCAGCACTCTTTTGTTGACCCAAAGAAATAGCATTATTAAGTTCTCTTCTGTAAATATATTGTTTATAAAGAAGTATAAATGTTCAAACTCGTTTATTAACCCCAATCATAGAGAGTTGGTGGCTCTCTGCATATTTTTTTTCGATCATTGTTGAAGTATACTTGTAAATCAGGACGTTGAAAATCTCTTTTTATTTGCTTCATTTTTTTTTTAAACTCTTTACAGTGTGAGTTAGCTGATTGTTAAAGGCCGTATTGGGACTTGTAGTTGTTTACATCTTTGTCCTTTAAGTACTATGGATAGTTAAAAATCATGACATATCTTTATATATATATATTATATATACAAGTCTAAATTGAAAACAACGTTCAAACCTATGATTGCGTTGGATAAAAACCGCAATTTTTATACGTGTGCATGCAAAACAAATTTCTTGTTAGAGGGGTCTAAATACAGCACAAACAACATTTTTTCCAAAAGACCAAAAAAGTGAAAAAGTATATTTTAACGAAACACATTTGACTAGCAGGTCAAACAACTGATGTTCCTAAACCCTGCTGACTGCCATTGGCGATTGACAAATAAACGGATCACCAGATGTAAAAAATGGATCTTATTATTAATTTATTACCAAACAGAAAACAATAAACTAATTATATATATATATATATATACTTGTTTATAAAAAAGGTATAAATATTCAAACTCGTTTTTTAACCCCAAGCATAGAGAGTTGGTGGTTCTCTGCATATTGTTTTTCGATCATTTTTTAAGTTTACTAGTAAACGTGTACAGACATACAAGTACACATGCAATGTACATGCATGAAAAAAAAGAGGTCAGTTTTTCGGTTTACAAAGTTCGAATGTCCGGTCGGATTCTTATTTATAGCATATACATATGAATCAAATACAGCACATGTTGACCAAATTGATTGCATATGAGTAATAACCTATTCAATTAGATTTTGGTATATGTTCCCCAAAAATCTTGGTCATCTCAACGAGTACAGTATTTCCAAATCTTGCATTTTGAATGAAATCAAAATTTATACATTTTTGAAAATAAAAAAGAACAATAATATGTTGTTCGTTAAGCATGCTTTATTGTTATATTTATTGCGTTAAAATTCATCATTTGTGTAATCTAAGACAAATTGATATGTATTTTTTTAATTAGAAACACACAGCTTCAAGTTATATCTATGTTTAGGAGGAATAGCAGCTCTCTTCATGCTACTGTTTATGGCAGCATTAATTATCAACATCAACATGAAACGACGCAAAGGTATACTAATTAATAAAAAAATAAAAACAAAAAGGATTCACCACTAACAACACGATAAAACATTGATTTAGACATTACTGTTGTCTTTATCTACCAAACACGGGGCTATTTCGTGCGATGTCGATTTCATGTAATGTCACTTTTCTTCACAATGTGGGGTTCGTTTTGGGATGAAAAAATTAGTTTTTTTAGTTTTTTTTCTGTCACTATTTTTTCATCCATCTAAGTGAAGTAGTGTTTAGCTGCAGTATAAAATCAGTATTAGGTCAGTGTCAGAAAATATCAACTTCATTTTATATTCAGGACAAAACTTTCAAGAGCTCGGTAAATCTCGATCTTCCCCAGTTTCTATACCTCATACAAAAAAGTTAATATTTTCCTGACATTGACCATATGTTTCTGATTAAATTATTCGTGTTTCTTCAGAATTGTAATAGACATACTGTTGAAAGAATACTAGAGGGGCAACAGTTAAATGTATGCATAAAAAGGATAACAGGAATGAACAAACACATTGGAAAGTACAAAAGGCAGAAGAAAAATAGATAACACTTTAAGCAAAAAATAAACTGAAGTAATTTAAATCTAATATGAATTCAATACGTAGTAGAGGTTGGTTTGGTCTCAACGAGGATTTAGTAAATATATATAAGGAGATTTTTTTTCAAATCAACTTCAATTTATATTTTTAATGATTTTCAGAAAAATAACTTACTATTATCGGCCAAAAAAATCATTTGGAACTTTTTGGGATTTTTTCAGAAATGAAAATAGCACATCATATAAAAAACCTTTTGAATAAAAAATCCCTTACATGGCAAAGTATTTAACTATGTGATAACATAATGACAGTATATAATCATTATTTATGCCCTGAATTTTGCGTAATTTAAAGTACAAATTTTCTGTTTTTGTTTTCAGTTTATTCTGCAGCATTGGCAGCCGAACAGAGTCATGACATGTAAGACAAATTTAATTACCATATGTATAGTATACAATTACCTATTCTGACATCGGACTCGGACCTATTCTGACATCGGACTCGGACTTCTTTTAAACTGAGTTTTACTGTGCGTATTACTATATGTTTCTTTATTCTACATTGGCTAGAGGTATAGGAGGAGGGTTGAAATCTCACAAAACATTTTAACCCCGCCGCATTTTTGCGCCTGTCCCAAGTCAGGAGCCTCTGGCCTTTGTTAGTCTTGTATGTTTTTTTAATTTTAGTTCATTTATATGTTTTGGAGTTTAGTGTGACGTCCATTTTCACTGAACTAGTACACAATTTTATTTAGGGGCCAGCTGAGGACCACCTCCGGGTGCGGGATTTTTCTCGCTGTGTTAAAGACCCATTGGTGGCCTTCGGCTGTTGTCTACTCTTTGGTCGGGTTGTTGTCTCTTTGACATATTACCCATTTCCATTCTCAATTTTAATGTATTTGAGTATTCAACCAATGTTATGCCATTTGAAACTCCTTCCGTCAAAGTTCACCTTAGATGAATTTCTATGTCCCTTTAAGTCTTATATTTCCTAAAGTATTCAAATAGTTATGTATCCTTGGTTTTCATTTTTGTTTATTTTTTAGCTTTCCTAATAAAGGTAGTCAGAAGTTAGTTTCGGACGCATGAAACGACAGGCGCAATAAAGACCTTATTTGGCATAATATTTGCCATAAAAGATTTTTAATTTATTACTGTTTTAAAGTTGAGGTATTGAAAAATTAAACGAAAATACACATATTTGGTCATTCTAACGTTATTTTAGTCCAACAAATTTAGAATGCATTCAAGTATCAACTAAACCATTTAAAAGCTTTATACTTAAATATCCCTTAACAAATTTTTACATCGGATGACCGTGAGGGCATTCCGGTGTAATTATGTCGCCTAGATTTCCATTGCGTAACTTTAGTGTTGGGATTATAACCGATCTATAAACATGATAAATACGCGGACATTATCGAGTGCAAAATAACATTCCTTATCGCTTGTTATGAATTCATTTTTTCAATGGATACTCCTAAAAATATTTTTTTTATAACATAAATTAATAATATGAAAATTTTTTGTCGTTAGAAATTTATATATAAGTAAAAAATCTTTAATATCTATGCACACGTACAGAAAATGTGTGTTAACGCATGCGGAAGAATATCTCAAGAACGTTAACTTTGCAATCTCCCATGCAGAGTTATCGGTCCTCGCTCTCTCTCAAGGACCGATAACTCTGCATGGGAGATTGAAAGTTTGGCGGGAAAATATGAATGCCTACTCAAATCCAATCTATTAGAAAAATCGAATTATTACAGAAGAGTGTCCACCATGCACTTGCACTGCACTATTATTAATATCGCAGAATAGAATGATATACAAATGGATGAAAATTATACATACACGTAACTGTAATATACAAATATTAATATAATATATAACAACAAACCAGAGTATACTGATCTGTAGTAGCTTTCCTAGTGAAGGTCAATTCAGACGTGCGTCTAGGACGCACGAAATTGCAAAGTGTTATTTTGAGATACTAACATTTTGTTTTTACAAATTTCTAATCCTTATTATTGAATATGCTGGCATATAAAGGGGTAATTTATGCTTGCATTACATAACCAAAATTATTAAGACTTAATTTTTTTACAGAAGACTTAACTCATCAAATGAACGTGATCAACTGCCTAATCAAGACTATGAAGACATCGATAGCGTTTACTATCATTCTGTTGAATGGAGGGATTACAACCTCGATCCTCAATTCACTAGTGAATTGACACTTGAAGACGGAGTACAAGAACACTATGAAAATGAAACTCATGATGGGATTGAAATAAATAGAACTTCCAGTGATTGTAGTGGTTATAATTTTGAAACTCAATCATTACAAAACAACGGAAACGTAAACTACGAAAATGAAGTTCATGTTGAAATGCAGTGTTATGAAGATTTGAGTGTGACAGAAGAGAGAAAGTCAAACGTATACAACGTTATGAATTTTGATATTGAAAGTAGCCCGAAGAAAGAACCTTATATGAATTAAATCATATATATTATATAGTGTTTGTTCAAACCGATTGCAGAGTTCACGTCAAATTGTGGTGTGTTTTTAACTGTATTAGTTCTACTGACACCTATAATTCTAAAACATAGTACCTCGGGGCCAATATTTTATATTTTTGTTAATTTCTGATATTTTCATTTTACTTATTTTGCTATTTGTTATTTTTATTTTCATGTTTCTTTCTCTTTATTTTTTTGCTTCCAAAAAATAATATATGACAATATCAGCATGAAAACGTTAAAAGAGAAAGAAGTCATTTACTATAGGACTAACACCGAATGCAATGGATAAAATTTGATAAGTTCGAAATGTTCCCTGTATTTATCAAAAATTTGACTCCTGTTAAATACTCTGAAATCTTTCGAAATTATTGAACTTTATGATTTCATCAAAATTTGAGGTAACAAAATATGAGATGAAAGTCATATGTAACATTAGATTTTGTTTGGAAGCAACTAGGTGACGTATTAAAGTTTTGATAAATATCTTGTTCATTTTATGACATTCTTTATTCTCTTGCATCATGAGGACAATTATATGTTATCTTACTTGTATCATGTTTGATCAATTATATGCAATCAAGAAAAGCGTTCATATGACACCAAGTTCCGCGTGCACGATCTCGTTTCCATGTTCAGTGAACCATGAAATCTGGTCAAAACCAAAATTTTGCGTGCTATATATAAAAAATAAGAAGATGTGGTATGAGTGCCAATGAAACAACACTCCATCGAAGTCACAATGTGTAAAAAGTTAACAATTATAGGCCAATGTGCGGCCTCCAACACGGAGCCTTGGCTCACGACGAACAGCAGGCTCTAAAGGGCCCTAAAATAACTAGTGTAAAACAATTCAAACAGGAAAACCAACGGTCTAATCTATTTAAAATACGACAAACGAGAAATACTTATGAACCACATCAACAAACGACAACCACGGAACAACAGTTCGCTGCATAATGAACATTTTTACAATATTTCTAATGTTTCGCTCAATCTAATTTAAATATATACCTCTGATGTCCTTATACTCCATATCCAATCTAATTGAAATATTTCTGATTTCGTAATACTCCATACGAGATCTAATACCGATGCGTATACAGTTACACAGGAAGGATTTAACATGTGACTCTTTCAACCAATCCGAATTCGAGCTATCGAATCTGAACAGTGCATGCGGAACATAATCTCAAATGTGGTTCATTGAAAGATTCCGAAATAGATATAAGAAGATGTGGTATGAGTGCCAATGAGACAACTCTCCATCAAAGTCAAAATTTATAAAAGTAAACGAAATTATTGAAAGAGAAAAAAAAAACCTAAACGGAATAGCATGTTTCTCGCTTCGAGAGAAGCATATCTCATAGTCCGTTGTCTTCATAATTACACCACACAATAACATACAGTATAAAATATTCTGACAGTAGATGAAGACTAAGGCCACGAATAATTGAAATCTGTGCCGTTTCTCATAGTTTTCAGTTGTAACCCGAAAGCATTGTTCATGTCTTGACGGTTGGATTTGAGATCGGATCGTTATTCAAGCTGGGGCATATATACGTATAATGTTCTCTAATTTAGGGCACTGTCAACACATTTTAAAGTGTTCATTTTACCAACCACTGGTGCACAATGGACTGGAAAGTAAAGCAAAGGAGGAAAAACGTTTGAAAATGACAAGAAAATAAATTAAAGTTTTCTCAGTCTAATAAATAGAGAATAATACATGACAAAATTCGTATCATATGCCGTATCATCCCGAGGGCCTTTAGGCCCGAGGTATGATATTGGTTGAGGGTGATAGGGCATGTGATATGGATTTTACCATGTTTTATACTCTTTATCATATATTTAAACAGGAGAGTATATATGAACTGCTTTCTGATCCCTAGCACCTGGGTTACCTTCAGATTTACTTTTTTCTTGTTTTTAAAGCTTTAAAAGATAACTGCTTTATTCGTTTCAAAGTTAATGAAAATATTATAAAGTATAGTAATTCGTAATATATTCCATTTCAAAGTTGTTTTATTTCTTTTTATGATTGTATGTGATTGTATTTTGTATGTATTTATCTCTTGTTTCACATGTGAATGTGACGGAGTGTTTTTATTGTATTATTGTATGGCTTAATTATTCATCCGAAGCACTTGTGTTACCTTACAATTTGCGTCCTGTTGTTCATAGAAATATTTTGTTTATTGTATTTTTTTTGTGTTTTGTATGGTATTTCATTGGGTTCTTTTTTTTTATAGTTGCATTTCATGTGCCAGAAAATATGAAAGCTCGACGTCTGTAAAGTAACATGCCAAACAATGATGCATTAATTAAAACATGGACTCCAAGTAAATTTAGTCGGAATCAATACTGTCATAAATGAGAAATTGGAGTAGGGGTGTGATAAAAGGGTAGGGGTGTGATAAAGGGATGTGATAAAGGGTTCGCAAAGTTGAGCGATACGGATTAAACAGCAGGCTATTTGTCAAATATTCAAAACTACTGTATTTACTACTAAATATATGATAAAATCAAGTATTACTATAAATTCAGAAATTATTGCGTTTATTTATAATTGCAATTTTTGAAGAATGGACAAAATTGTGAGACTAATAATTGCGATTTCTTGAAGAACTGTGTACATATATATGTATCAGAATGCGAGTTCTTATTATTGCGAAACTCCCCCAGTCGCATAATTCGCATTAATAAAAACCTCGCAATACTATCTGAATTTACGGTAGTCGGTGTCATCTTCTGTTATCATGGTTTACTTGTTTACTTTCATTTAAAAAAAATGCCAAAAAATTTGTCTGTTTGTAGTCTGGGACTATACAATTTTTTATCTGATAGGTCACCTGGTCGTAGGGGATATTTAAAGCAATACTTAATTG